TGGGCTCAGGTGATCCTTCCACCTCAGCCTTCCAAGGAGCTGGAACCACAGGCATGTGCCGCCACACCTGTCTAATTTTTTGACTTATTGTAGAGACGAGGTCTCACCGTGTTGCTCAGGCTGGCCTCAAACCCCTGAGTTCAGGCAGTCCTCTCGCCTCCACCTCCCAAAGTGCTGGCCTTATAGACTTGAGCTGGCTTCCAGCTATTATGATGGACTTGGAGAAGCGGCTGGGAGGGAAAGCGGCCCACGCCCTCCCTTCTTGTCCCCTTCCCTCCCACTAGCAGTGAGGGCCTGGTGAGGCGTCTGCAGCACTGGCTGAGGTCACCGTCTGCCACTCCATTCAGTGCCCATGTCCCTGGGGAGTGCCTCTCCCTCACTCCCCAGCCCATTAGGGGAACAGCAATGTGGCGGCTGGTGGCTGATTTTCCCCTGGCTGTCTGGTGCGAGCCAGGACCTCTGGGAGCCCAGGCGCTCCTGGGCACAGAGCAGCACTTAGACGTGCCAGCGCCTCTCAGGGGGCACCTCTATGGTGTGCCATTCACCCAGGGGCTGCACTCCAAACTGGCCTCAGGCAGGCGCAGGGCCCGTGGCCTCCTGGTGACCTCATCCACGGTGAGGGTGGGGTCGTCACCCTTGACTTGATGGCAGAGTCATGGGGCAGGGAACGGGTGACCTTCCCATCCCCTGCCGCCACCCCCACCCCCCTCTTCACAGCCCTTTGAACTAAGGCCACGGAGCACTCAGCACTTGCCCAGGCCTGTGCCCAAGCGTGTCACACACGTCACCTATGGGGTCTTCACAGCCCTGCAGGCAGACCACGCTGCTGTCCCAACAGCCCGAGGAGGAGACCGAGACTCAGGCAGGTTGAGGCACTTACACAAGACCCCGCTGCCAACATGAGGTGGCGCAGCGAGAGGGGATTCCATGTCTGTCCTTTCCCATCCATTGGATGGGGGTCATGAGAGTCCTTACCCCCCGGCTCTGTGGTGAGGATTAAACAAGATTGTGTGCATGGAGTGCACGTCCTGACGTGATGTACATGCTTCGTTCACGGCAGCTGTCGTGTGGTGGCAGTGCATGAGCAGTGGCGTTGCAGCTAGGGACAGGGCCTGAATCTGGGCTCCCCTGTGCTGCGCTCTGCTCCCTTGGGACGGTGCCGGCCTCCCAGGGGGCGTTGGGCGTTGTCAGGGAGGCATCCCCTTGGGGCATCCAAGCCCAGGCTTCCAGACCTGACACCCACAGGGCTGTGAGGGACAGGAATAGCCCGTAGACGCTGGCTTCTGTCCCCGGCCACATCCTGAGGTGAGGCGGGAGGGGCGAGGTCAGAGCCCAGACTGGCCTTGCCAATCGGGAGGCTGACCTCTCGTGAGCCTGGGGACCCTGGGTGATGCCAGCCTCCCCTCGGGGACCTTTGCAGATGGTGGTTCTCATGGACCCCATGGAAGACCCTGATGACATTCTGCGGGCACACCGATCCCGGGAGAAGTCCTATCTGTTCGACGTGGCCTTTGATTTCACTGCCACCCAGGTGAGGGGTGCCTCCACCCTTTGCCCCACTCAGGAGGCCCTGGCGTTGCCCTCAGCCTCCCCTCCACCTCCCGCTCAGGAGCTGCTCTCTTGAGATTTCCCATTCGAGATTGTTCTCCCCTGTCCGTGTGGCATGCATACATGGCCTCCTGCGTGATACACTTGGGTCAGTGCTCAGACACCACCCCACACGGGTGCACCATGGATGGTCCCTGCCAGAGTCGGAAAGAGGCACTTGAAGCCCATCTGGTACAGAGAGGGTGGGTGGAGGGTGGCTGGGGAAGCCGACACCCTCCTGCAGACCCCCATCTTGCCCATCTGCTCCCAGAGCAGACGTGATGCGTCCCTGTGGCTGGGGGCCAGGAGCCAGCTGTGGGGGAGGCGTCTCAGGTATCCGGGGCTCTCTTCCAGGCTGGCATCCCCCACCGGAGGGTGTAAGCAGAGACATCCCCTCCCCCGGTCTCTGCCCCCACACCTCTTGGGCCTGGGGCTCCGGGAACAGAAACCTCTCCTCTGGGGCCAGGACCGCACAGTGGGTGTCTGTGCTCCACCCTGCCTGTGTCCAGGCCCCTGACGGGTCTCCTCTCCCCTGCAGGAGATGGTGTACCAGGCCACCACCAAGAGCCTCATCGCGGGCGTCATCTCAGGCTATAATGCCACCGTCTTTGCCTACGGGCCCACAGGTGAGGGGAAGCCCAGACAGCAGGTAAGGATGTGGCCCATTCGCACCCCACCCAGGGCCCCGCAGTCCCAGAGCCCGTCCTAAACCAAGGACACCGCCCTCCCACCCCCTTCTTGGCATCTGACAGCACCCAACCGTGAGGCAGACCCAGCCAGGCCTCATCCCAGGCCCCTACCCCATCACCCGCCACCTCTTTCTGCCCCAGGCTGTGGGAAAACCTACACCATGCTGGGCACAGACCACGAGCCCGGCATCTACGTCCGGACCCTCAATGACCTCTTCAGGGCCATCGAGGAGACCAGCAACGACATGGAGTATGAGGTGTCCATGTCCTACCTGGAGGTGAGCCCCCACCGGGCTTGGATACGAGGGGCCTCGAATGGGGCGGCCCCCTTCCCGGGGCCGGTCACCGGGCAGTTTCCTGGGGTGCTCATCACTGGTGCACTCCCAGCCCTACTTTACAAAACTCTGAGGCTCCTCAGAGAGGTTAGGCAACTAGGCCAGCGTCACACAGTCATGAGGGAGCAGGAATTCAAACTCAGGACCCTTCAGCTTCAAAGTCAAGCCCTGCCCTTTGTGCCACACCCCGAAGTGGCCTCGTCAGTGCGCTCAGACTCAGCCATCCTCCCGTCTGTTAGGCCGCCTCTTCCTCAGAGCAGGCCCTGTCCGCCCTGCCAGGCTCTGTGTGTGGGCACAGGTGAAAAGTGCATTTCCAGGTACAGGCTGGACCCTGGGCCCTTTGCCACCCGGCCACAGCCTCCCGGTATCACTCCTCCCCCTGTGGTAGCCCTACCACCAGACAAGAGTGGGTCAGTGGGACAGGGGGAGCACACGAGAGGCTGGCAGCCCGCAGGCTGGCCTCCATTGGGTGGCACTCAGGAGGCAGTGAGGCAGGGCTGCCAGCAAGGTGTGGACTCAGCCAGCAAGACTCACCTTGGGGAGGCACCCCAGCAGGAGCAGAGGGCTGCCTCAAAACGAGCAGTGCTCCCCACCCAGTGAGAGAAGGGGGCTCTGGCCGTCGGCGGTCCTCGTGCTCTGCTCAGTGCCCAATCTGTTTGAAAGGAAATCCCACTTTTTCTGTTTGTGTTCTTCTTCTTTTTTTTTTTAATTTTTTTGAGTTGGAGTCTCACTCGGTCGCCCAGACTGGAGTGCAGTGGCCGCTCCCGGCCACCGCAGCCTCGACCTGCTGGGCTCCGGCGATCCTTCCGCCTCAGCCTTCCAAGTAGCAGGACCTACAGGCGCACGCTACCACACCTGGCTAATTTTTGATTGATTGTAGAGATGAGGTCTCGCCAAGTTGCCCAGGTGGGTCTCGAACCCGCGGGCTCAGGCAATCCACTCACCTCAGCCTCCCAAGCGCGGGATTACAGGCTGAGCCACCGAGCCCGGCTGCTTGTGTTCTTAAAGACAGGACCAGGCTGGAGTGCAGGGATGCAATCCTAGCTCACTGCAGCCTCGAACTCCTGGGTTCAAGCGAGCCTCCCACCTCAGCCTCCCGAGTAGCTGAGACCACAGGCACTCCCCCACACCCAGCTAATTTTAAAAATTTTCTGAGAGACAGAAAATCACTATGTTGCCCAGGCTGGTACTGAACTCCTGACCTCAAGCCATCCTCCTGCCTCCGCCTCCCAATGTGTTGGGATGACAGCGTGAGCCCCCACGCCTGGCCCCACTTGGTTTTGAAGCCTCCCGTAATCTCGGCTCCGGCAGCCCGATGTGTCTTGTGAATGATGAATCCCTCCCGAAGAAGGGGCCTTTTCCCCTCATCGGGGTTTCTCTGAGAGGAGCCCAAGGCTCAGCGAGTATGCGCCCTGTCCCCTTCTTGCATTGGCAGGAGGGGCCTGGTCTTTGCCGGGACGTCCGGCCCTTAGTCTCCCCTCCCCCACCCTCCCGTCGGTCCCATCAGATCTACAATGAGATGATCCGGGACCTGTTGAACCCTGCGCTGGGGTACCTGGAGCTGAGGGAGGACTCCAAAGGGGTGATCCAGGTGGCCGGGATCACCGAGGTGTCCACCATCAATGCCAAGGAGGCAAGTGTTGCTGGCCAGCCAGAGCCACGGGGAGGGCACTCGCCACCTGAGGGTGCTGGAGCGGTGGGGCCTGGAGCTGGGGAGCCACCGCCCACTCCGCTGGGGCCGGGCCAGACCCAGCATCCCCAGGGACAGCAAGAGGGGGGACACGCACCTGCCACCCTGCCCCCACCGCGCTGCCCCTGGGGAGGGACCGGCCTCTCCCTCTGCCCAGAGACCCCTGGCCCCGAGGAGTTGACGCCACCGCCCCAGGTCCCCCAGCGCCTGGGGCGAGCCCACCTCCGCCTCTCAGACGCAGGCCCCTCCCTGCTCCTCCTGCTCCCTGCGGGAGCATCTCCGGGGTCCCCAAGAGCTGCCCCTCCTCCCTCCCACCCAGATCATGCAGCTGCTTATGAAGGGGAACCGGCAGAGGACCCAGGAGCCCACGGCCGCCAACCGGACGTCCTCCCGCTCCCACGCCGTGCTCCAGGTGGCCGTGCGCCAGCGCAGCCGGGTCAAGGATGTCCTGCAGGAGGTGCGGCAGGGCCGCCTGTTCATGATCGACCTGGCCGGCTCTGAGCGCGCCTCCCAGGTGAGTGAGGGCTGCGCCGGATTGGGGGGGGAGCAGGAGGCAGACGTGATGTCTCCCCTTGACAGTCACATCAACCAGTCACAGCGGGGAGTGGAGAAGGTCCCTGTGGCCCATTGCTGGCCGCATCTCCGTCCCCATCACGAAGCCCTGCTTGCCCAGCTCTGCAGCCATGGGTGGCGGCACCACCCCCCAGGGGAGACCCAGGCTCCCTCCTGCAGGCAAACTTGACGGAGTCACCCGAGCCGTGAGGCTGGGTGATGCCAGTTTAGCCCATAGACTCCACCGTTTGGAGGTCGCCTCCTTTGTGCGGGGGTGGCCTTGGCCTCAGTGGTAGCAGTGTCACTGAGTGCCCACTCCTGGGTGGGCTTGGCATTCAGTGCCTCACTCCATCAGCTCCTTGAATCGTGGCAACAGCTCAGAGTTCGCACTGGAGCAAATGCGAGAGAAAGGACGGTGCCAGGGAGAATGAACAGCCTTTCGTGTTTGAATAAACACGTGGGGCTGGGTTAGAACAGGCAGGGTTTGAAAAATTCATCCCTGCCATCCAGTAAAGCCCCAGGGCTTCCTGGAAGGAGCATGGGAGAGTGGCCACCCACCGCACAAAGGAGGCGACCACCAAACCGTGGAGCCTGGGAGGAAAGAGTGTGCCCTCCGGCTCCTGGAACCAGCTGGTCCTGGCTTTGCTAGGCTGGGCAGAGACACAGGAGCTGCGGGCAGTGCCTCCTTGGCCTTGATGTGGTCCTGCGGGCCCAAGAAGACAACAACCTGCCTGCCAACACACCCTTCCCTCTTTGCTTCTGGAGCCTGGAGTGCCCTCCGGAGTTCTCATGGTGTGCTGGCTCTTAGCCGGGCTGCCTGGAGGCCAGCGTGTAGGCCACGCCCTCCCTCACACCTCATTCACGGGCTGCATCAGGCGCCCACCCTGGAGGGGCGAAGAACCAGCTATCCCAGGCCCCCTCAGAAGCCTTCACCCCATCACTCTTGTCCAGAGGCCTCCGTTCTCTTAACCTTCTCCAGTGCCCTCCACAGCCCTGCGAGGAGTTGGGATGAGGCCCTCTTGTGTCCATTCACGGCCTCGAGGGAGCGAGAGGGGTTTATGACCCAGGATCATCAGGGCAGCGGCGGGGCGG